GTAAGGAACCCAATCAAAGAAGGCCTTTATTTCCCTTGTGTAGGGTTTGAAGAGCACGTGCGATTGCAGATATGATGATGGTGATCATGATGATGACCGTTTCCATAGAAAACCAACACATCAAGGTTTAAAGAGCACGCACGATTGTAGATTTGATGATGGTAATCATGATGATGAAAAGGCATGTCGGATGAAGACGTTCTTTGTGATTGAAACGACAAACCTGATTTCATAGAAACCCAAACAACAAAACGGACATAGAGTATAGAGGCGATACTGTTTTGTTTTTTTGCCTGGTGTGGATCCTGGGACGGCAGGTTTGCGAACTTTCCGTCCGTGAGCGGCCAGAGCAAAAAAAAGAACTGAACCTGAGGTTGTGTGGTGCTGCCTTGCACCAAGCAATAAATTTGAAAGCTTTACGAGTATCATATCTGCAAGATGTAGGCTTTTGTTGTCTGGACGCTCCACACTGGCAAAGATGTCGGCCAACCAAAATAGATAGAGAAAGATAGACCGATAGATAGATAGAGAGATATATCTATATATATATATAAAGATCATATATGTACATATCGAGTGAACGGTCCACACTGTTAATGATGTCAGCCATTGTTCTCTTCTACTGCCATTGTTCTCTTCTATTGCCGTCGCTCCGCGACAAGAACCCCTGTGCGGCCGCCACGGTTTGAACGATGTTGTTCTCACACCTTCGCGACCGCTCGTAACTGCCAATGATGTCGGCCATTGAGACCAAAAACATCCGAAAGTACTGATTGTCGGAAAAAAAACGCGAAGAATTTGATAGCCATGTATAGCGGACCAACGCAATTCAAAAAATAACGAAAAACATGAAAAAACGGCGAAATTGCTGTTATTTACAGTGTTTTTGCGCGGTGAGAAGCAGAAACCACTGCAAATACCATGGTTTTTGAGGGTCAGGTGGCAAAAAACACTGTAATTTACAGTGTTTTTTTAACCAACGTCAAAAAACACTGGTATTTACGATGTTTTCATTCACACCGTAACATAAAACAGCGTAATTTACGAGGTTTTTGGAAATTTTGAAGCTAGCCGTCAAGCATGCAGAAAACAGAAAAACACTGTAAAAACCAGTGTTTCTGCTATAACAAAACGACGAAAATCAGTCCGAAAACGGGTCCAAAAACTCAAAAATCCGCCTCCGGGCCAGGCCACCTGCGGAACCGCAAAAAAAAAGATGTTGCAAACCAAAAAATTGAGGTCAAAAAGTTGAAAAACACGGGGTTTTTTCACTTTTCGCTTGCCGATTTTGGACGGGCGCGTTCACAAACAGGTGTCTTCCGTACTGTTTTTTACAGTGTTTTTTGAAGGCGAGCGTCGCGACCTATCAAAAACAGGAGGTTTTGGCCGAAAAATGCCCCCCCCCCAGGTAAACCTGTAACCTTTTACGAGTGCCATCCGGACGATCACGCCCCAGCACCTTCGGTGCGGGCGGATTTAAACTTCCCCCCTGCGTTCCACTAAACCATTGTCTCCATTCTACTTCTATATTTAAACTACCCCACTCCTGCGTTCCACCAAACCATGGTCTCCATTCTACTTCTTTATTTAAACTTCCCCCCTCTGCGTTCCACTATACCATTGTCTCCATTATACTTCTTTATTTAAACTTCCCCCCCCCTGCGTTCCACTAAACCATTGTCTCCATTCTACTTCTATATTTAAACTACCCCACTCCTGCGTTCCAACAAACCATGGTCTCCATTCTACTTCTTTATTTAAACTTCCCCCCCCTGCGTTCCACTATACCATTGTCTCCATTATACTTCTTTATTTAAACTTCCCCCCCCCTGCGTTCCACTATACCATTGTCTCCATTCTACTTCTTCATTTAAACTTCCCCCCCCTGCGTTCCACGAAACCATTGTCTCCATTCTACTTCTTCATTTAAACTTCCCCCCCCCTGCGTTCCATTAAACCATTGTCACCATTATACTTCTTTATTCAAACTCCCCCCCCCTGCGTTCCATTAAACCATTGTCACCATTATACTTCTTTCCTGCGTCATTATACTTCTTTATTTAAACTTCCCCCCCCTGCGTTCCACAATACCATTGTCTCCATTCTACTTCTTTATTTAAACTTACCCCCCCCTGCGTTCCAC